CTTAATCTGACCCGTCACCCAGGACCTGTTTGCCTTGGAAGACTCTACCAGGGACATATAGCCCCCGACAACATAGCTCCTAGTATCACTCGGGTGCTCAAACCCCTCCACCACAATAAGGTGGCGGTTCAAGGAGGAGGAATGCTAACATCAACATCATTATTTGTTGTCATGAAAAGTCATTATTTTGCCTTCACCAGGTCCAAACGCCATCTCTGTCAGTTTGTCTCCGATGGGCTGCTACGTGATGGTGGGCCTGGCCTCTCGCAGGATCCTGCTGCACCCCACTACCGACCACATGGTGGCGCAAGTCTTCCGCCTGCAGCAGCCACATGGGGGAGAGACCTCCATCAGGGTCAGACAGTACACACACACACACACACACACACACACAGAGCAGCCAGCACTCTTACTCCACTGTCACTACTGCTAGTTCTACTCCTTGCACCAAAAGTAAAGCTGTTTTACATGCAGCAGAGTCAAGCCACATTTTAATCCTTTATTCCCTTGTGTTTTTTATTTTCTTGTAGTTTTTCCTGCAATGTTTTAATTACACAAGAATTAAAGTATAATGGATTCTTCAAAAGTAGCTGTTGACCAGTGGGTAACTGGGCTATAGATTCTTCATGAGAGTTTGCAGATGTGTTGTTATTATTCAGTCACTGTTTGTCCTTGAAGGCTGGTGAGTCAAACAGCCGTGGAAGATTAAGAGCACAGATAACACAAACTAGAGATGCAGCATTGTGGAATTTTGGTGTTTGTGAAGAGGATTTGGTAGTTTGTCTTTATAGATTGACAGATTAATTTTTCTAATACAACACCCCACCCTCACGGTCTCTAGAATAAAGAATGTATTAATTTGTTCCAAGCTTAAATAGGCCTGGCTGTTTTTGTTTTTTTTTTATATAAATATTCACACTAATTATTGCCTACCCCAAGTTTTATATTCCTCAGTTTGAAAATGTCTTACTTTTCTGTTAGGAGAGAAACCACAGCTGGTGTCAGTGTAAATGCAGCTGCCGCCGTTCTGTGTGTTGTGAACCTGTGGGTGTTTTTCAGATGGTGTTCAACGTGGTTTACCCCATGGCTCCAGATCACAGGCGTAATGTCAGCATAAACTCTGCTCGCTGGCTGCCAGATCCAGGGATGGGCCTGGCTTATGGGACCAACAAGGGAGACCTGGTCATCTGCCGGCCTGTGTGAGTCTTCACCCCTGTCAAAATGGAAACTGGGACTCAGTCAGTTTTTATTGCTATTTATAGACCCTTGATAGATTTGAAAATGTTTTCAGTGGGTTCTGGGCCTTGGTTTATCAAAAATATCAAAATCATTCATGAAGTTCTGGATATGAGGTTTCAGCAAAGATGAGGATGAGTCCTGGGAGAGAGGGTGAGGTAGTGTAGCATTAGATCAGGACAGTAGAGAGCGGTGCAGAAAATGGTCATATTATTTTTACATTATTTTTATTATTTGCATTAAATAAACTTCTGTGTAATTGTCAGCTAAGTTTGTTAGCACGTTTCCTGGTTAAAGAAAAAAACTGGACCAAGGATTTATTTCCCTTGGCAAATTCAGAACAACTAAAGTGTGACATCTATATTTACAGTAGGTTTTAGGTCATTAAAAACCTGCAGCACTTACGTAATCATGAAAATTAAAACCAGGAGCAGTGACATGTCCTGCAAGTTTCTAGCAGTGGTTCCCTGTTTGTCTCTGTGTAGCCTCGTTGTCAGGAACCTGACCTGATCACCACTGTGGCTTTGTGCTTTCCTGAAGCGGCCTACAAACTACCTCAGAGATGAAGCTACTGTAGCTTCCCCTCCACAATGAGAACTTAACTGATGTGATTATCCTAATGTGCAGCCTCAACAGGAAGAGCAGTAATTGGAGAAGCTCAGTTATTGCGTTTAATGAGGTTGCGGTCTCTGTGATTCCATGAAGAAGTCCCTCCTCTGCTTTTAAGACCTTCTGAGTGGAGCAGAATTAACAAGTGTGTATGTGTGTGTGCTTAGATTTTATCGCAGCGATGGTGAGAGCCCTGGAGAGTCGAGCAGCGAACCTTTGTTCTCCGTCAACAACAGTGGAACAAGCAGGACCCGGGCTTCTGACAGACCGGGGTGAGAGCCTTCACCTCCATAAACCCTCTGCCCTGGTGTCGCACACGAGACTGAAAACTGAAACACCAGTCGTCTTGTTTTGTGAATTTTAGGTCCTATGACTTCACAGAGCCCTGCTGCTCTTCCTTTAGGGGAAATTGAAGTAGTTTTCACTGTTGAAAATTTGACGCAGGTCTGACTTTTTCAGTTCTTCAAAGCGGAATTAAAATTTATCAGCAGTAATTTTGAGGGCGAGTGTCTGCATGTGAGCTCATTTTAATGAGGGCTGCAAATCTGTAATCTGTTGGTTATTTTCTCAATTGTTTGCTCTGTAAAATGTCAGAAAATGCCACAGTTTGCTAGAACATGAGTTGTCATCAAATCATTGTCTTGTTTTGTGTGCGCAGCAGCCAAAAATATTAAATCTCAGTGTGGGATCACGTGAAAGACCTGGAGCCTGAATTAAACAATCACATAAGTTTTTTTTTTTACAATAAAGACTTAAATACCTCCTTATGATAAAATGCAAACCAAAATAAAATGGCTACCTTTAAAAAAGAACCAGTTGTAAAGCAAGAGTGTATAACAAAATATCTGATTTTTGTTTTGAGTACTGACATTTACAAAATGCTGTTTCATTTATCTCAGTCATCATCTGAAGAGAAACATCCTGAAGACTTTTATGAACTAAAACATCAGATTGAGTCCGTGGCAGTGGATCATCTGGACTTTTAACATGATGGAAGCAGTACTATAGCAAATGTGCATTAACATGTGGAGTGACTTCATGTATGTACTAGACAAGGACCAGGGCTCCTCTTGTTGTCTGCTGTACTAACCCACAAGTTGTTGTGTTTGCAGACCAAATCGCTCTGGCTGGAGACTGGACAGAGATATGGGATTGATGAGCGCTATTGGTCTGCAGCCTCGACACCCTGCCCCTTCCGTGACATCACAAGGAACCCAGACACCAGTCATCCAGCTGCAGAACGCCGAGACACAAACGGAGAGGGACCTATCGGAGCCCAGTGTCTCCCAGCCACCACCCAGTACTGAATCCTCTTATTACTCAGTACTGACATTATCAGATAAGATGCTGTGTGGATGTTATTGTGTGCTCTGCTGTTTCTCTGTTTGATCGTCACAAGCTGTCAGGTAGTCACACAAAGGGCTGCGGTCATTAAAACCATGACATAATCCTGGAAAACCTCTCCAGGATTATGTCATGGTTTTAAAAAGAGTTTTACCCAGTGGTTCCCAGCCTCTGGGCTGAGGGTGGGTACAGGGCCTGGGAACATTTACCACCAGGCTTATAAAAGAAAGAGAAAGCAGAAAAATGATGATGTAACTTAGAGGCTGTCTTTGCTTAGTGAAGCCTGAACCTGGTGCATCGCTCTTCATTACTCCCTGTTACACCCACAGCAGCAGATTACCGAGTCCGAACTGAAGCTGGTCACCACCCACTGAGTTACTCAGATCTGTTACTGTTACAACTAAATGCAAGGAAAAAGAAAACACTGAGAGGGTCTTTTCAGAGGAGGCAGGAGAGTTAATTCAGTTTTATTTGTATAGCACCAAATCACAACACATACACGGGGAGTGACATGGAGCATGTGGCTCACCTTCAACAGTGTTGTCAAAACAAAAAAAAAAGAAGTTGGGAGGTTTAAACCTGGACTAACAACACTGGTGTAAAACTTAGAATTTGGTTTTGTAGTGTTTATTACCCAAGAAGAACGATCAGAGAAAGTACTCGTTAGTGGCAGCTTTGTGTCCTTCAGTGTCTTCAGTCTTGTCTGTAAATGTCCTGTTGTTTCTTGCCAACTGTTGTACAGTCTGGATACTAGTCAGTCAGGTTGTAATCCAACACAGTGTGAACAGTATCCCATGATCATGAAACCGTGGCTTTAGTTGTGATCTGCCTTCTCTCCCCAGATGTCCCTCCTGAGACTCCATCCACCAGCCAAGCAGCTCAGGGGCCACAGAAGACGCGTCCGAGCAACAGAGCCCAGGACGGCGCCCACGGCGTCCAGGGTGAAGCTTCAGCCGACACCAACACATCCACAGCTGGTACTGCTGCGCTGAACCTCACTTACTTACTTTCTCTTACTTTGCAACTTTTGCTTAATTTGCTCCCCAAGTCTTTGTGACATTTACACTTTATTAAATCACTTTAGTCTTGTACATAAAAAGTTTTTCTTTAGCCTCGTGTGTTTTATGACAGTGTCTTCATTTTGTTAGTGGCTTATTCTTCTGTGAGTGGAGTTGAGACTGTGAGCTGTGGGCCTGTATTGGCTCTTATCCCAGACCCCTGTGTTGGTCTGAGATGAATGCCACCTTCTGCTGCCTCCTCAGGGGCCATCTCTTTGCACAGCTCTTCCTGGCTTCAACCTAATTAAGGCTCAGTTGCAGATCAACATTTACATTCCTTAGATAGGCATTGTTTGTTTCAGTGCAGCTCTGCTGTAGTCTCCAGCTTCTCTAACACAACCTGAAATCCAGCATAATGAAGTTTGAGGACATAATCTTCTGTTTGGTATCACTTTAATATGACAGGTCACTGGTTTAAAACTGGCTTCATCAGATACAGGTACTATGGACTGGTGGTGTTTATTTAGATGCCCTTTAGCAACAGCACAGCAGCTGCTGTTGAACTCTGAGATCAGATGTGATGTAATAAAAACCCTGCTGAGTGTAAAGCATTAGTCAACCCAGTTTCATACTTTGTCATGATGTTACAGATGCAGTTCCCAGGATTAGTGTCATGTAGACAGTTCAGGTCACTACACTGAAGTTTTTCCAAATGCCGATCTGCGGTGTCTGTTTAATCTTGATGCAGCTCTGCTGTTGCTCTTGTCGCTCCAGCAGAGTCTCCAGAGTTCAGTTCAGGTGAAGATGCTCTGGCCCGAATCCGTCGGCTGATCGCTGAGGGCGGTATGACGGCAGTGGTCCAGCGGGAGCAGAGTACCACCATGGCCTCCATGGGCGGCTTTGGAAACAACATCATCGTCAGCCATCGCATCCACCGTGGCTCCCAGACGGGCGCCGGGGCCTCCAGGCCTGCGGCTGACCCCACCACGATGGCCTCCTCTTCAGGTCCCCTCCTGGTCACCCAGACTCAGCTGTACTCCCCTCCCCAGGGTTCTGAACAGCTGGCCCCCGTGTGGGGCCCCCAGGTGCTGCCAGGCCCCCAGCCCTCCAACCTCTCTCTGGCAGTGGACATGGATGTGTTTGACGGGGGAAGAACAGACGAGGATTCCCTGCCGGGCCCCTCCTCTTCCTCCCTGCTGCTGTCTTCCCCCTCTTCCTCCACCTCCTCCTCCTCCTCTCACAGCCCCCTCCATGGTGGTGGAGGGGACCCCAGCAGTTACTCCAGTGACCCATACAGCAGGTAGTTTTCCTATTGGCCAAGAGAAGCAGTGTTGGCCACTCGCACTCATGAAGGCCGTTCCTTAAAGCCTTACAAAGAATTGGGTGCTGCTTCGACTCTGCACAGGGTCTCCCACCTGGAAAAGAGGGGACACAAAGACCCCACCTCACCCCCAAACCTCGAGTGGCATTGGGTGCACTTGAACAACTGGACTGAAGCTGAACCGGTCATTCCTCATCAGAAAGGGCTTCTACTTGAACGGAGGCCAGTTAGCTCTGAGCTCCTCGCCGCCCGTTTCTCTCCAAGTATCAGCGTGGTGGAAGACAAAGTTCCTCTTTATCAACGTGCCATGTCTGAGGGGAGTGGGGGTGCGTGGTATTGCTTTCTTGCACGCATTTACTCCAACATGCTGCATTCGGTGCCATGTGATATTACCATTTGATGTGAATTAGTGTGTGATTGAAGTGTTTAACAGGTGAATTCAGCGCTACGTGTTTTTGTACCGTGTGTAATTATGATGTTTATAAAAGCCGTGCTGGAGGCTGGACTCTGCACAGCACGGCCTGCAGTGAACAGACGATGGTACTATGTCCCACCGTGTGGAGATTCAATCACCGATGACTGAATGGACAGCTGAGTTTGAATGAACCGAATCTACTGCATGACTTTATAATAATGGTGCAGTTCATAAAACAAATAGGTAGATTTTTTTTTTCCAGAGAGCTGAAGAGGAGAAGCATCATCTCCTGTTCAGGATTCATCATGACCCCCTCCATACACTTCATCCCCCTAAAAACCCTAACCCAGTTGCACTATGGTGTGTTTGGTGCTAAGTGAGGTCTGGTGGTGCGTGTGCGTGTGTGTGTCTTTGGAGCTGGCAGTAAATATTTAGGACAGGGTGTCTTCTGGACCCACATTCACTGGTAGGAGACGTGACCAGATATTTTGCAGAAATCAAGTTACATTTCAAAACTCCTCATCAACTGAGCATCATGTGTGTTTGCTGACCGTTTTGTTTAATACTGTACAGAAGTGAATGAAAACCTGCCTGGAACTGTAGCTCGCTGTCAGACCCATAGCGCGTTGATCTGCCTCTCGACACACTGACTTCCTGTCTGTGTCTCCATTGGCTCTTACTGAAGACAAAAGACTTTATAAAGACCTCACAAATATTTAGTTTCCTCTTTAAGAACACTCAGTAGTTTCCTAAAGTAGCTGCTCACTGTAGTTTTTATCGAACAACCAAGAGGAGATGGTGCACGTGTTGGGGGATATTTTCAGCAGCAGATAAATCCATAGTTGGGCTGTAGCGTGTGGCAGCAGGACGGTGTGTGTGTGTGTGGAGCTGAGTCAGAATCTGCTACGGCGTGTGTTCATATTGATGGAGGAACATGTCAGCCAGTGCAGCAGTGTGGGCACTGCTGGGTTTACTGGTTTGTGGGCACAGTGCAGCTCTGTGGCCTGGAGCAGGAGACGTATCAGAGACATCCACTGCTGGGATCTGTTGAGAAAGAAAAAGAGAATACCTGTGTCCTGGAGCTTCCCAGAACCAGTAGGAACCTGGGAGCTGCCGCTTCAAGCTTCTCTCACTGCTGTGCTGAACATTTTGGCTCTGTGCCACTGATTATTAGATTCTCTTGTCCATTTTCATGTGATGATGTGTAGATACCCCGGCTGCAGTCGGAGGTCAGCCCAGGCTGACTCCAGACCAGCTCTCTATGGCCAGCTGAGTCCTGCAGGCTGTCTGTGTGACTGTACGGTTGCATTGTATTTCTGGGCGACTCTACTGAAGCTGAGTTTAATTTAGCCTGTTTGGGTGCAAGCTCCAGCTTCTCTGGCAGACTTGCACTTCACACTGACTGAGCGCCAGTAGAAACATTCTGCACTGTGCGTGTTATTCTAGTGTTTCTCCATGACTTTTACTTCGTTATCACACTGTTTCTGCAAAACAGATCATGTCCATGAGAAAAACCCACGTGTGGCAGCGTGGTTTTATCCAAGGCCCTAAAAGTCACCAACACTTTTCTTCCCTCATCTCTGCCATTTAGCCCACACATGCCAAGGACTTAATGTGAAGTGGTTATTGTTAAAGGCTGCTAAAACATGAATACATGGTACTAGATTGTTTTTCAAAACCCGAATGTCCTCATCTGAAGACAAGAAGTGAGCCACACAACTGAAAAAGGCTCTGTTCCAAACTTTCTGTGAGATTTGTGGGTTTTTTTAAATATCTGGAACAGAATCCAGGTACTCGGCTCTGTTTTCTGCATCAGCAATGTGATGTTTTTCTTTTGGGCAGCTGGACTGAAATGTCATGTGACCACAGTTGCAGGAGAGGAGGTGGAGGAGAGCTTTGTTGAGAGAGGAAAACTAGTGATGCTATTCCATATTACTGCAGAAGGTACTTTGCTACTGGATTTATTACAAGAACACTTACTTTGAAAAGGTTGCTGAGAAACAAACGTGCTCTGTGCCAGTGACTACACGCATCTGTCCGATCTTGTGAATAAGAAGATGCTGCATTGTTATTCTAAACGTGCACACCTGGGTTCCTGGGTTTCAGAGCAGCTGCTGGTTTTGTTTGCCCTGAACATCACTGCTGTTCTGTGCAGTGAACCTCCAGAGTAGAGCTGAGGTCCGGTTCCTGGAGCTCTGCTCCAAACCACAGTAGAAGGAAAGAAGATGACTCCATGTTTACACTTACAGATGGTTAAGCTCCAGCAGTGGAAAAGGCCTGTGATTGTTGTCTCCTGGCTAAACCCCGCCCCTCCTGACCCCACCTGCCTTTCCTTTGCCGTCAGACTCCTGCAGAAGAAAACTTGAATTTTTGGATCAAGCACCACTCGTCCTATTGTCTGTGTACAACTGCTGGCATTCTCTGCTGGTTTTATTTGGTCTTTTATTGTTATTCCACACACACAGCTGGGTACTGCTCATGGTGTACGTGTGTGTATGTGTGTGGGGGGGAAGGGGATGGCTGATAATGGACCTATGAAAGTGAAGGTAGTGTGGCGATGAGCCCTGAGTGAAGCCGTGTACTCTGTTTTTGTTGAACCTTTATTTGCTGCACGTCTGTCCAGGTGAGATGGGCGACCTGGGGAGTGCCGCAGCCACATGTGTGACATGGAGAACCAGCTGATCTCAGTGCTCCTTCTGGCTTTACTTGATCAATGAACATTTTAAAACCAAGTCTGGGTGATGTGTGTGTGTGTGTGTGTGTGTGTGTGTGTGTATATGTGTTGGAGTGACGAATGGTATTCAACAGCTGGTAAATAATAAAGGTACCCCTGTGTCACCAGACTCCCCTGCGCTCTCAGACTGAGGACTTTGTACAGCTCTGATGCAATTCCTGCTTTTACTTTAGACGTGATGTAATTAAAGAGCTTTGAGAGTTCCCCAGTTATCAGATGCAGTTGTTTCCCAAAACAGCTGGTGAAATGAGCATCTCTTCTCTCCTGCTTCTCTTTGCTTTCCTCTGCAGACAGTGATGTAAAGCCACACTCAGGTAGTCGTTAGGTTCAAAGCTAATAAATAATTTATCTGATTGTTTGTCTCCCAGTTTATAAAATCTAGAAGTTGTGCAAATCTTTAAGCGTGAACCCTAAATGGATTCTATTCAAAGGATTCAAATGCAGCATGTCAGTGGTAGGCAAACAGCAGCCCATGGACCGAGTTAGGCCTTCGCACAACATTATGAAACGGTAAATGTGAAGCGTGTTAACACTGGAACAAGGGCTCCTGTTTACTGTCAGTTTGCTTCAAGGCCCCTTGGTACAGGTGAAGCTTCCTGCTGTTTCAGGGTCCCACTGTCCTGTCTGTGCTGTGATGATATCAAACACCTTTGTGCCACACTTACTAGTGTGTGCTCGGTCCAGGGTGGAGTGTGTAGCCTTAAATCACCAGTTGCAGGTGTGACCACTTGAGGAAACAGGATTAGAGAACTACATGAGCCTCATCCAGATGTGGTGTCCGGCGGCTCATCGGTGGTCCCCTCTACCTGCTCTGACGTCCCTTCAGACCTGATGCTGATCACCTGGTTCGTCCTTGAGCAGCTGAACACAGTAGAAGCCTTAGACTAACAGATGAAATGGATCTGTTTAGACTCTATTGGCACTGATGGAGAAAGGAAACTGGTCTGGGCTTGGTCTGTCCTCAGAGTAGTCATTACTTCCAACGTGAAATAGAGACTGGTCTGAGGACAGTCAGGAAGCTGCTAGGGAGACTCTGCTAATGAGAACGAATGATTCCTCCTCCGCTTATAACCTGCTGCAGACCGGTTGGAGCTGAGGGCACGGCTGCAGACTTATCTGGTAAGTCACTGCTGTCATACACATCAATGAGCATAGTTTCTGATAACACTGCAGGCTTTTAGTACAAACTGGCCAGAGATGGAAAGTACGTTTACTCGGATATTTAGGGACAATTCCGAGGTATCTGTACTCGAGTATTTCCACATCCTGCTCCTTCATACTGTGACTCCATGTCAGGGGCAAACCGTGTACTTTTTACGGTACTACATGTACCCGATAACTTCAGGTCCTTTCCAGAATCAGATGAATCAAACCAAACCCAGTAGAACCATCAGACTCTATTGATCCCAGTGGGAAATCCACCAGCTACCCAGCAGGATGTGAAGTACTTCACAGTATAAGTATGTAAGGTAGTTACCATCAGCTCCACCTTTACCAGCTGCAGCATTAAAGTGATGAACACAGTAATTAGTCACTATGATCCAGTATCAGAGACATTACTGGGACATGGACCGTTCTGCAGGACGAGTACTGGTACTGATGGTACTTCAGGTATATATTGGTAATGCATTTGTATTTTTGCTTAAATATTTACTAACGTATGACTTTTACTCACAGCAGTATTTTGCTGTGGTATTGCTGCTTAAACTGAGTACTTCTTCCTGCAGAATCTAATCAGTTAATTTAGGATGCATACATTTATTAAAATGGCTGCACCGCGTTAATGCATCAACAATTATAATCAGTAATAAATATATTAGTCTGGCCGAGTAGTCTACTTCAAGTATGTTTTGATGCTCCTACCTACGAACTTGACAATGAGCAATAAAACATGGATAGAAAGACAAATCCATGAATAATAAACAGCAGCTGAAGAGGCCCAGGGACAGCACCCTGTGCGGACTCCAGCTGCGGGGTGTCCATGCACGCGTCTTTAACGCTTCCGGTTCTGTTCCTGCACCGACAAAATGCCTTCGAGGGGACTAAATGTGATGAAGTGGGGTCTGTGGGCTGCAGGAGCACCATCACCACCAGCTCGCTACCATCACTGGGAGCTGCTGTCACATGCAGCGGGAAAAGCTGAACGTGCCCCGATCACTGATAAACTGATGATAAACAATAGTAGAGAGCGGCATTACGTGACCTTCTCCTTGGTGTTAAAGAGACCTGCTGACCTCCAGTAACCTCACCATCGGCGATGATTACTGGTTGCTTTCTAAAATAATTTATCAGCTACTACTGTGATAACTGGGGTCATTTCAGACACTTTTGACATTTGATAACCTGCATTCTGTGTAAATAAGGCTGTGGCTCAGTGAGGAAATGACTCTGGTTATTACAAAATGCAAAGCTGTGCACGTTTCCACTGTACAGTACTTGGGGCCCAGTGGTGGAAAGTAACTATGTAAATTGCTCAGCTACTGTACTTAAGTACAAGTTTGAGATATATGTACTTGAATATTTCCAATACTTGAGTATTCTGCTACTTCATACTTAGACTTCACTACATTTCACAGGCAAATACTGTGCTTCTACTTTTATTTCTGTATTTAAGTATTTTTACACTGTGGTATTACTACTTTTATTCAAGTCAACAATTGCAGTACTCCTTCCACTACTGCTTAGTCCATATACATGTCCTGGGCCTTGTGTAGGAAGCAGTGTAAATGTACACTCAGTTTATTAGGAACACCTAGTATAAACCAGTGCAGTCTTGCATGAACCTGCTAATCATCAGTTCTGCATGATGCGACCACTCAGCTACCCAGCGCTGCAAACAGGTGCGATAGCCAGTCTCATGATTGGAGCCGCCTGCTGTCCTTCGGGCCCCCGCCATCCTCTGCTGGCACCATACATGTTGTCCCCAATAGGGAGTGTTACACTCTGGGGACGGTGCTAGTCATGATCATCCTGTACAGCCGTCTGTATGCCGCCAGCCGCAGCCATCTGAGCATGCTCAGGACGTCCAGTCCATCCATTAAAGACTTCCTCTTGAAGCAACGGAGCTTGGTGAGCAGTGACCCCATCTCTGACCTCTCATGGAACCAATCGGCTTCAAAGAGCCGGAAAGCGTCCAGAAGTCCTGGAGACACTTCAGAGGCAGCAGACGTGTCTGTCTCCCCAGCAGGATCAAGCTCACTTTGTTTTGTCTTTGTAGCGGTTTGGCATCTCTGTGTGGGACTTTAGTGTCTGTGTGGTGGTTAAGTGTCAGTCTGGGCATCTTGCCCTGTGTAGGACAGCTGTTGGGGTCCAGGGGCCTATTGTCTGATAGAGTTCTTGGCTGCAGGAGATTTGGAGTCATGACCAGCAGATACCAGTCTTCTTTCACCTTAAGATATTTTCAGGTTGTTACTTTGGTGTTCATCTGACTGAACTGTTTATTGCTGGCCTGGCTTTGAACGCGAATCTTCAGTTACTCATTTCACAAACGTGTCCCTTTTCTTTAAAACCGTTCCCCAGTCTGCCCTGCCTTGTTAGAGCTCTCAGCACTCTGACCTTTGACCCTTAGAAGTTAGCATGTAACTGGTGTAACTGATGTCTTTGAGCACAGCATTTAAAAAAAAACAAACTGTGATGCAACAGTGAGCAAGGACCATTTTCTAAAAAAAACTGATGTCACCACTGAAATGTTCTGATCTGGATCCGGTCGTCTGTGTTATGTGCCAATGAACAGACCAAAGTCATCACCAAAACAATGTACAGTATTTAATTTGATCATTTATACAAGTCTCCTCTTGCACCATCAAACTACAGTTCAAAAATAGATTTTATAGAAGATTATGTCATTACAGCTCCACCCAAGCCTTCCAAATTTGTACATACTTTAAAGGTGATAATTCTAAACTTGTCTAAAAACAAAACTCTTGATAATCTGGTGGAAGATGTCCCTGACCGTCGTGTGTCTTTCAGATCGGACCAGAACGTCTCTCAGATGTTAATTTAATTTCAGCTACAGTAAAATCTTTTAGGACCATCCGTTAAACTAAAAGCTACGAGGACAGTATTAGTCATCATCTAGGGGGGGGGATACTGGAAAAGGCTTTCCACACTTAACCAAATACACACATCAACTCAGAAACCAGTGAAACAATAAAATCAAAAGGAGGCCAAAGTGAAAGGTGGTTGGCGTGTTTCGGAGGAGTCTCTCGGTTGTTCGTGTTTGAAGGAGTGAAGACGATTGTTCAGCTGGAGGAGGAGAAATCCTGCTGTGTTCTGCGTCTCGTTTCAGCCTTTAGTTTGGCTTCTTCTCCCCTGTGAAGGAAACAAAGCCTGTATTTGTTTACGCTTTGGAACACTACATACGACGAGTTAACAGTTCACATCTGCTATGAAGTATTGGACGTACTGACTGTCACTGGACTACTGTGATACTAAAGACTTTAAAACCTGATGAGGTTCTGCAGCGCTCAGCCCCTGCATCATCTCATAGTTGCAAGGTGAGATCCTCCAATATTTTTCTTTTCCTTCGATGAATGTAATGCACTTTTGTAGAATTCAGACTTTTAAGAAAGTTAATATTCTGTTGAAAGTCAGAACTCAAATTTTTTTTTTTTACAGTTGCCCCAATTTGTCTTCTGTGCATCAAGCTGCTGCGTTGGACAATCACATGCATGCAAATGCACATTCCTGGTGCATGACCGTTTTTCTGCTGTGAAGCTTGAGATCATTATGACCAAAGATAAAACTGCCACTGTGATGTACGATCCTGTCTGAGTGTTACAAACCACTGTAAACACATGATCTGTTCCTCCATCTGGGCTTCCTGATAATGAATGAACCACCCCCCAGAGCCCCTGTGCCTTTTCACACAGGACAGATGTCTGTGTTAATGCGACTTTAAGCTGGAGCTGCTGGAGGAACAGATGGTTCTAAGTAAACAGCAGAAATACAGTGTTCAAGTTACAAAGTCATCAACCAGGAATGCACGTTTGCAGGCAGGCGATTGGCTAATGCAGTGTCATGCCAGATGACACCACGCTGAAAGAAAAAGTTAAACACTGCTTGGTTCTGAATGAACCTCCTGTATTACTGCACTTCACCACTTAAGGCCGACACTAAACTACAGGAGCGCACTGCATACAAAGGAGAACAGAGGATCTCCTTTTGTCAGACGCCGTACAGCTGAGCAGAGACAGTATTTCAGACAGAGGCATTATGGGTAGCTACTTGATTTATTTATAAAACCAATATAGTTGCATCTAGCAAGTTGCATCTGTTCATGTTTTGGAGCACTAGGTACACCAAAGTAACTAACACTAGATGTTTGCTGTGTACCACTGGAGGTAGTAGTTTGATGAAGAATTCTTAAAAACCTGATGATCCTCAGGCAGGTATGAGATGAGGTCATTCTTTTTTTTTTGTGAATTTGAGGCACTTCTGTAAAAAAACACCTGCAAACTGAGGCCATTTTAAAATGTTTAGCTCTACACCAAGATCAGGAAGTATCTTTAAATAAACAGTCATTTGAGATGCACAATTAAAAACAGCTGCTTGAAACTTACCATGTAACCATCATTAACATTACATTACATTTAAATTATGTGTCAAAGTTGCATGTTAATGATCAACTTTTTAATAAGTGATTTTTAACTCATATGAGCATAAATCAGCTGACAGGCTGTGGTTGGGGTCCGAGGATTCAGTCACATCTGAAACCCTTTCAATTCCCTAGTGAATCTTCGTCAGTAGGTGAAGACGTCTGTTAAAAATGTAGTTTTTATTTATTATTAAAAATCAACTTTTTTAAAAAACATTTTTATGGAAGGGCACTGCATTCAAATTAACTACTGTATTAGCAGTTCATCTTGCTACATACTGACAATTACATTACAGCTGCTGTGGATCAGGAGGTAGAGCGGGGTCTCCTAACTGGAAGATTGGCGGTTCGATTCCCAGCCTCGAAGTGTCCTTGAGCAGACACCGAACCTGCTGATGATACCGGTACGTGAATGTGGGAGTATTTGGGAGTGCGAATGGCCAAACAGTGTGAAAGTGCTTGGAGTGTGCTGCAATGCATAGAAAGGCGCTGTACAAGTAAAAGATGCACGGTGAGTAGGCAGCAGCTTGTTTTGGACCACTGTGTATGCTGATGATTTTCAGACACATTCTGCAACATTCCTGCATTATCTTATAATTACAAGAAGAGATCTTGTAATTATGAGATGGCAAGTCATGACCGATTTAATTAGCTTTTCTTTGCTGACACGAGTAGACGCTGAGAGCAAACAGACTGAACAGAGAACTGGCTGAACAACTCAGTATGGGATTTGTTTGGTCCAGATCCAAGATGGACCCGGCTTTCGAACGTCTTACCTCTGGTTTTCTTGACTTTGGAGGAGCAGGGCTTGGACACTTTGATGGTAGTCTGGCACTCTGCGTTGAACAGCACTCTCTTCAGGGTTCCTGATCGGTTCTTGGTGTTGGTGGCAGCGTCGCAGGGTCCCCACGGCCCAAACTTATACTTACAGTCACCTGTAAGACATCCACACCGAGCTGTGACTGTTTAAATCCCCAAAAAACACTTTTGTCCAAATGCCACGTTTACAGTCACAGACAAAGTGTCTGCAGCATCACGGTGCCAAAGCTGAACCCATGATGATTCACCTAACTGGTGCCTGTGCTGTCAAACTGACAACCTGTTCACCTGAAACCAAACTCACCTCCTCTCTGCAGTCAAACCCAACACTTCATTCCCTCCCTGATGCAGTACCAGCGTCGACCACCAAAGGTCGGCTCCAAGAAACGAATGACAAACGAATGAAAGTCCCAGTTATAACTTTGAAATGTCATCAATTCCTCAACTTGATAAAAGTTCATTTCAAAAGATGTTTGTTACCAAACTTTGTCATAAGATACTTGAAAAAAAGAACTTGGTGTTCCGATTTAATCAGAACTGTTCCCTCAGCTGTGCGTGCTCCACTCACTGTGGATTTACTGGGGTCTTTGTCTCGGATGATCCCACCATGCCCATCAGACCTACACACTGCTGCCTCAGTCTTTCAGCTCAGCGCTGGGAACATGTTTTAAAGTGATTTGTTTCTATAACACAGGCTTTGTTGTCAAAATCAAAGCACCACAACCACGTGCATTATTTTAACATATATATTCTGTTTCTAGACACCAGGATGCGGCCGAGCTCAGCGGGCGTCACCCCTTTGACCTCAGCCAGCGCTTCAGACCAATGAACTGCGCAACGCGTCAGCTTAATTCAGTGCTTTACAAAGTTGCCATTCTTATTAAAACCTCTCGAGTGGCATCTACGAGGGGGGAGGTGGCACTGTGATTAACATGCACACAACTGGCTTTTAACTCCGTGACCCCTGCAGGGCTTGTGCATTCTCTCTGGGCCGACTTGTGTCAACAGCCACTGCTGGCCAGGTGTGTGAGCTGAGTCTTACTGATGTCCTTCTTCCAGTTGCAGGGGATCTTGCATGGGATCTTGTCGGTGCGGTCGTTGCATGTGGCCTCCCTCAGGCCGTCTCCACAGTCTCCATGCTCTGGCACACATTTCCCATACTGCATCTCTGCAGCGGAGCACTCTGAAGCAGCCTTGGATTTATCATGTTTGCCACCTGGGGGGGACAGAGTCACAGCTGCAGTCAGTCACACTGCAAAACATTCACACATTCACTGAGACAAGGTCACTCTGCTCTGAGAGCGACTCACTAAGGGAGATGGTGTATAGTGCTGCTCCTCCTCCTCCTCCTCCTCCCTTTAGCTTCTCTGAACTTCTACGTATTCATTAAAAAGCTGGACACAGGATGTCTCCTGTTTCACTGAAAAGTCAGTTCTCAAACATTTCACACCTTGTTGAAACATAGGCTGAGGACTTGTCTGTTGTTTTGTTAGCCTGTATTTGTCCCCATGGACACTGTCACTGGATCACTGCGACACTGAAGGAAATTCAAAAACTGCAGGATTCTCAGGCAGGCTCTGCAGCTCACCTCCTCTGATTCTAAGTCAGTTTATTCTGGATGGACATCAGAGATAACGAGACCCATGTGTGAGGCTCCTGCTTTCAGGTCGGGACCCGTTTGATCTCAGCAGGAGTCTTGACGTAGGACATAGGCCAGACACACACGGGGTTTGTTTCTCCAAGTGGATCCATGTTTAGCTTTCCCCTACTCCAACATCAAGTTACCATCACCAGAAAGTTTACTCTTATAAAAGTGAAATTACACCTCCTGCCATCTTTTGTTGTAGTAATTAATAGTAGATTTCCACCCTGGACAGGTGGCCAGTCTACAACACAGACAGACAACCAGACACTTTCCACTACATTTAACAGCTAAAATTACTTTGTTAGTTTTACATCCACAACACTTTGTAAGTGCTGATTAAATCTCACCAGCTGTTGGACAGACTGTGATAACACGTGGTTCAGGATGAACTGTAGTAACTGTGTCCAGTGCTAATGCTAGCATGCTCACACACTAAACATTACACCTACTGATGTGAGCATTTAGCTCAGAACGTCCGTGTGCTGACTGAAGTGGTACCGAGGCCTCACCTTTGTGGGTTCTGCCTCTCTTGGTGGCCTCGGCGGTGAGCGTCAGGGCCAGGAGCAGCAGCAGCGTCACTGAGAACAAACTTCGCATTCTGCAGACACAAAGACACGGATGTCTCTAAAACAATAACACACTAAATGGTCCCGTACCCGTTTCTACGCATTGCAGAACACTCAAAGCACACTATTTGCCCATTCACCCAACGGGGGAGGGCCAAGAACCTCAAAAGCCCCCAGTGTCTTTCTCTGCAACTGTAAGACTTCACACAGTATCACTTCACAATAAGGGCTCAAACTTTAGCTAATGCATGACTAGTGAGGATGTAAAGCCTCAGTTACTGTATCAGGAGCTCCTGTTAACAAGTCACTGCAGCCTTCTGCTCATTAAGGAGTGTGAACTTCTTACATGTGTTGACATGGAGCCAAAGCGGCTTCACTCCAGTTACACATGCATGTGTGTGATCAGCCTCTATAGGCAGAGGACAAACTGTCCTCAAACTAACAGTGGCCTGTTACTGTGTGTTTCTGATGCAACGTGTACAACAGGGCAGGGGACACTGCACTACAACCATCAGCAGCACAGTGATGTACACGTCGGCATTCTGTTACTGGCCTTTCTACAGGTTTTGGTCACTTTTTACTAGCTGGTAAATGTAAACACGACTGGGACATGCAGTGACGTAGAAATATTCCTCATGTTTGCAGACGCATGCAGCTGAAATGAGCTGTGTGTAGCTCTAGTGCAGCTGTCAAACGCAGGAAGTAAATGTGAATTAATTGATCTATAGTGACCTGGCCATCTGTTAGTGGGGAAGAACAGGAAGTACAGATATGTATACAGTGACACCTTCAGTGATTTGTGCTCTTTTTATGAAGTGTTACTGGTTTTACTTGATCAATAATGAGAAAACGACCACAAAGACAGAAGCTGAACTGTTTGGGGGTTGTGCTCCTGTGTGGGAGGAGTGCCATGGGTGGAGGCCCCGATTTTCATACTCTAATTTTAACCCTTTGTTTCTAGTCTTCAGAGATGAGCCTGGATTTTCAGATGAGGACAGACAGAGCCCTCTGGTCGTTTGTCCTAATCTGATCCTGATGTTTCACCGTGCCCTGATCCGGCACCGCGAGCTTGGCTACAGCCAGATGGTCCAAATCAAATCTGCTCCCCTTCCAGCTCAGCCCCCAGTCGCACAAAGCTTAAGCCATATAATCTGACTATTGTAGTAACAGCAGCGTCCAGATTATAGAAGTAGGCTAATGTATTCACACAGTTCAGATTCTGCTGCTGTACAGGTTCTGGTTTCTTCCTGCTCTCCCTCGTCCTTCAGCGTCACACAGCTCAGAGGCAAAATGCAGAGCAGGCTCTTGGCTCTGCTTTGACAAAGAGAGAGTCAATTACCCATAAAGCTCCTCTCTCCCTCACTCCCTCTCTGTTGTTATTGTGCTGAGAAATGACAGACTCCTCTTTCAGGCCTCCATTAAAGCACTGGTCCTCTTTCAAATGTCAGCTGGCAGAGCAAATCCTGCTCTTCTCGCTCCTCCTGCAGCTTTCATGAGAAAAGAACCAGCTCTCAGCAGGCCTCCGCTCTGTCCTCCATCAATAAAGAGGAGGAGGAGGAGTGAGGGGGAGTAGAGGGGAGGGGAGGGGGTGAGGAGGCCAAGCAGCATCTGAAAGAGCCCTTTAGATTTCCCCTCAAAAGAATACTGATTCATTGGCCCAAAACAAAGCCTCCTCTAGCCTGGTTTCATTTCTCTAAAGCCTAACACACATCTCATGCCGCTTCTTAGGAGCTGTGCCACCCCAGCCCCCCACCCCCCGGCCTGAACCGCCCTGAATAGATTCTTCTTTGCATAAGAAAACAATGAAATCTTAGCATGAAGAAAGGCAGTGGGCTGCTCCCTTTGCTTCCAACTAGAAACAACATTTAGAGGAAGTTGCTGCTGAAGCTCAGGGTTCACTCTCACATCCGGAGGCAAACACGAAACAAAGTTTAAAGATGAGTGGTTCAGCCTCAAGCAGTTAACCCGCCCTGCTGCGGTCATAAAGAAAGGCATGTGAGCCAGGCCCATCCTGCTGCCCGAGGTGTGGCCTGCTCGCGGCGAGCTGGAACATTCAGTTGCCCTGGCCTGATGGAACCTTTGATTAAAGGAAAATGAAGTGCGAAGCCAGAAACTGTCCAGACACTTCAGCCCGAGTTGAACACCTCCTGAAGATTCGAAGCAAACCACACTAGCAAGGTTATACAAGCTGTGCCAGAGGCCAAACCATCTGCAGACTGTATGCCACAGTACTGCCCTTTGTGGACCATGTGGACAATTAAAACCCCTTACAACCCACGGCCGGGTGTGTGCAGCAGCCATGTGGCTTCTGTTTTAAATTAAGAGACCAAAGCACAAGAGAAAAACCACAGCAAACATCCTGTCTGTTATTATGAAGATAAGTGCTCAGTCTCTCAGAACAGATGTTGGTGTGCACAGCTCAACTTTCAGCTAAAATAAACTTCACCCAATTTTCAAAATAATGTCAGCACCGTTTGCCATATGTCCTTTAAAATAGCATTTGAAAAATCCTTCAAAACAAACTTTCTCCCTTCTCCTGTAAAATACAAGATTTCAGATACGTGGTGAAGTAGCTGAGAGAACCTGAGTGAGGCTGCAACTGGTTGAAAGCCAATCACATTCCAGATTCATCTGCAGACTCTTTCAAAATAAAAGTGATATAAAATTGTTCTACTTCTTTTGTCTGATCCACATTTTAAACTTCAGACAGATTACAGTGGCATGACAAAGAAGCAGGAAACCTTCATGCTTCAGAGGCTGAAATCAATCACTTTTCTCTTAAAAAGCAAAGTGAACAAACTGCAGATGAATTCAGTTTGTGGACTCAGTGGTTAATCGGCAGATCTTTTCAGCTTTAACACTACAAATTCTATTTCTGAAAATGAAGCTAAACACGGTGTTGGTCTATTGTGTGTTTCTGAGGGTAAAAGGTGATAAAAACACAAACTTACGTGCAGGGCTCAGAGGAGCAGCCAGTCGAGCTGAGGAGTCGTCGCCTTCTGTCGCTGCCTTCAGCTGCTGCTGCTGCTGCTGCTGCACAGCCCCCCCCCCACACACACACACAGCGCCTGTGAAAACCAGCCTCATGCTGACATCACAGGCTTTAATCCACACCCTTAGGGAACAACACAAACTTAGCTCATTAGTGTTAAGTGCAGCTTCATAGCTCACATTTTTGTGCTGGTTAGAAACGGAGTGAGCAAACAGCCTGGGTGCGTTTGTGTGGATGGGACAAACAGAAACTGCTTTAGTGCTGCAGGAGTGTGTGGATGACGTGAGTCACACAGTGAAATGGGTCAAAGTCCACCCAGCCGGCTTCAGCCAGCTGCGTCTGCACACATTCCTGCACCTCCACTGCTCTCTTTCAAAAACTGGCTGCACTCAGCACCTTCACATTCAGACGAAAGGAGACTCCTGACTGACTGAGTGGAAACATAACCAGCAGGGCCACTGATCAATCAGCTGATCATCATCCTGATGATCTGATTGATCTGTTTATCCCCAGAATGTCAGACACTGGGAAAAAGTCCCACTGTGACTCTCCGGAGCCAAAGGTGGCGTCTCCACACGTCTTGTTGTGTCCAACCAACAGATCCACAGAGACTCATTTGATTCTCATGTCTGACAAAGAAAAGCATCAGCTCCTCACATTAAAGAAGGTAGGACCAGGACATGTTGGACACAGTGAGGGGATCTGGTTTGGAAGGAGGACGTTTCCTTCTCCAACAAAGGAGACCTGACGCTGCTCTGGAGACTCGCCCTGCTCGGTGGGGGTTTGGCCTGTCAGCTATCACCTGCTGTGTTTCTCACACCTGACTTCCTTCCAACAACCTTGTTCTTTGTGCACTAAGAGTAAAATAAGACCTGACATTACAGCACACAGACGTGTCTGTTGAATCTAAAATACTCAGTGTGCATGTGGGAAAACTGGTGTGAGTGGTTTGGATGAAGTAACCTGTAGGTGTGTAGTAGTAGTGTACTGTTACAGGTGAAGTCCTGCACTCACGTTTACATAACTATAAACATCAAAACACTGTATACCTGCACAATGTGTGTTAAATGGCTGGTTTGCATTACTGTGTTCAGAGGTGGCAGCGGTGTTAGCTACACTGCAGGGGAAGCACATCATAACTCGTATGTTCTCACTAATCCATATTAGATAAGTAACTACAGTTCTTAGATAAATGTAGTACAGTATTTGCTTCTGAACTGCAGTTATAAATGTAAAATACTCCAGTATAAGTACATGCAAATTGTACTGCAGTATTTATTTTGTGCCACTGCTTAACAACGATCCTGTGACCAACCTTTTTATTTACAGAGTTGCACTGAGTAGGGAGAAGCAGCTCCAGTGTGTGGTTCTAATGAGTTCTACTATGTTCCACTGAGCTTGTGCGCGACAGCAGAGCGCAGCGCGTTTCTCTCAGCTCTGATGGCTCAGTCACGCGTGCAGCCCTTTGTTGAATGCTGTGGGGGGCCAGCCCCATCAGGACCGGTTGCTGCTGTTTAACCCTGTGGACTCCCTCCTACTGCAGCCGGTAACCAGCGTCCAAAACCCATAGATTGTTTGCTGTGCCAGAAAACAGAAACACCGACTGATAATGAAATGATCTAAACTCAGGGGTCTGACCTGGGTGATGGGAAGGATTCATAATATGAATGGAGTTCCAGTTTAAAATGGACCTAGACTGCCTGACCTGTGATTATTACTCATTTTATCTTTTAATGTGAAAAACATTTGGAAACATGCTCTGGACAACCTCCAGCCCAACTCGATGTCAAACATTTGGACCGATCACTCTAAAGCCCCAAAACGGTCGATTTGCCGTTGCGTAAAACAAAGAAGCAGTGTTCAGACACGATGGACAGCCAGTTGTCTCTCGACTGACTCGTGGCTCCAGCGCTGAACCAAACAGCTTCTTCTTGGCAAGAAATTCAATTTCCCCTCAGGAGACTGTTACTGACATGATTTATTGCAGGTCACTCAAATCTGATAAAACCCAAACAGAACAGTTATTTATCCGTTACTTTACAGCATTATGTCACTAATTAAAAACACACACGTGGCTGTTTTGGCACAAACTGGTTTCAACACTGATGAGTCTACGAGGTCTCAGCTCTGCACACAGGACACACATCACAGCACAAGGTCCCTCTGCTTTACAGCTGCACGACAGACAAAACAGTCCAACGATGGCTGGAATCAAAGCAGACTGTGTTATCTCTACACATTAGTCATAAATAACTAGATTTACTGCTGCCTAAGGGAAAGATCCAGACACTTAACAAGGACATCCAACCAGGAGGTCTTCTGCTGCTGTTCCATGTGAAGTGGGGAAAGCTGCAGTCGCTGTGCGGCTGTTTCACTTCCTGTACACAGACGTCACAGCGCCAATGTTTGTAGGAGATGGGAATGTCTGAATTCACTGGAGTGTGCAGATGTTTGAATGTTTGGATGGACTTCACCATAGGACAGAGGATTTCTAGTCCTCAGCAAAACCCAGTGGTCAGTGAAAGATGAAGTGATAAATCACCGTTGTCCTGCTTCTTACAGTAGAGAAGACACAGCACTAGCTAACGGGTGGTCGCATACATTAAATTAGCCAATTTTTCCCTGGACCCTGGGCTCCAGATGTCACAGGGACAAAGGAGGAGGTGAATTAAAGACCTAAGGACAGACAGATGTGCACAGACAGCCTGGAGGTCAGACTGTCGTCTCCTGGTCTTCTCTCTGGATCATCTGGTAGTGTTGGCGGTTCTCCAGGTACTCAGCCAGGTCCTGATGGTCGGCCTTCTCTGCGTGCTGCTTGGGAGTGTCACCCTGAAACACAGACATTCAGTCAGGTGAAAACGTGTCTGCTGCTCTGTGCACAGTCCAGCAGGTCTGAGACACAGTTTGTCTCCATGACGTGTGGTTTCTTCTGCAGTGTTTCTCGCTCTTAACACATTCTAACAAAGTTGTCACCAGTTTGAACAATGATCAGCTGCCTATGTCCAGATCTTCTTCTCAGTGAAACACTCCGTTTCACTGCTCACATCATCACATGCACATTAGTTCATGCACTACTCAGATGTTCCGAATTCACTGTGCATAGACAGAAGCACGGAGCCGGGGGCCGGACACACGGAGCCAGGGACGGACACACGGACCCACAGATGGTGTGACAAATGAGAGCAGGACACAAACAGCCTCTCAGCTCCCCTCTAACCCTGGGGTGGAGCTGGGCTCCACACCAACACACACATGAGCTCTTTTCATTTGCTGGAGAGGAGAAGAAAAACCTCAGATTATAGGCTGCTTCCTGTTACCACTGGCTTCACCATGACGACGGTGCGCTGTGGCCTTTGTGTGTGTCAGAGTGAGGCCGGGGATCCTGCAGTGCTCCGCTTCTCAATGACACACAACATTAATCACTTTTTACAAGTGGGTCAAATAGAGTGAGTGGTACAGCTGCACGAAGACCGAAGACCGAAGACACCAGGATGTCATAAAGCTGTAGACGTTGAAGTTTACTGGGTAGATTTTGTCCTGTTGCTGGGTGGTGCCCATTGGCGCTCAGTAGTGGCTGTTTGCTGCTGTGTGAAGCCGTTTCCTCAGGCGGGACAAAATCTACCCAGTAAACTTCAACGTCTACAGCTGCACGAAGACACCAGGATGTCATAAAGCTGTGAGACCAGACGAGGCTGCAGTGAAAGAGGTGACCGCTGTTGCCTTCAGGGTGGGAAGTGTAGGAAACGCCAAAGTCAAGCTGAAGTAGGAGCAAAAGTTTTAGTCAGTCAGTTCATCACAAGAACCTGAAGCTGTGTTGCAAATGCACACTGCAGTACTAACCCCTACGCTGCAGTACCAACAGGGACAGATATAATATTTGAGAAGCTATTGCCCAATAAACGTCATCAATATAAAGTTCAAATGCATCTAATGTAATCTATCAGACTTCAACACATACACAGCTGCTTCCAGCTGTGAGCAGCTCCTCACGTTGCTTCGTGCACCGTGGATGCTCTCAGTGACTGTGTCAATGTATCTTTAGTTTAGCATGCTAACGCTAGCTACTCAGCAGTAAACACAGCATCCAACTGAGGCTGATGGGAGCCTCATTAGTTCTGCAGGTGTTTGGTCAGAAACCAAAGTACTGGACACATTAAAATGTTGACCTGGTGGTGGCGCTACGGGAAAAGTCAGTCACATCCTGAGGGCAACATGAACGTCTGAGCCACATCACAATCCATCCGACAGCTGTTGATAGTTAATCATATTTTATCAACCGACTGATTCTGGATGTAAAACTTCATTTACAAAGTACCTTTAGCTGTTAAACTAATGTAGTGGAAGTACAGAAGTAGTAAGAGGGCAACGGGACTAACGGCCCATGGGCTCAGCACGGCCAGCAGCTCCAGTGTGTCGCTCGCAGTGTGTTGTGTTACAGGTGAGCACTGGTCACCTGCAGGTCTGTCTTGGTCAGCGACGCCCCGGCCTCCACCAGATAGTGACAGATGCTCCGCTGACCCGAGGTGGCAGCTTTATGGAGCGCCGTCTCTCCTCTGCAACACAAACACACACAGTGTCCAGTCTGAGGAATCACAGTCTCCAGATCCAATTACAGGACTGAGTGAGATTTAAGACACTTACGTTGCCTTCTCTGTTATGTCCAGGTGAGATGTGGGCACTTAATGAGACAAGACAGAGACAGTGTGTTCAGACGCTGTGTTGGTGAAAGGCACTCTACTGACATAAATCTTCAAACGTAAAATGACACAAGCACTGTTGACTGATGAGTATGATCAGTGGCCTGCAGCAGGTCATAACTGGAGCATGTGTTGGAGCTTTGCTCACACTCCCAGGCACGTGCTCACCGTTAGCGATGAGGTACTTGACCATGTCCTTGCTGCGGGCCTGCACGGCGTGATGCAGCAGCGTGCGGCCGGCTGCGTCCTGCAGCAGCACATCTGCCCCCTGCTGGTGGAACTCCATCAGCTGCACAAAAACAAAGGCAGAACAAAGTTTGAACGGTCGGTCAGCAGCGAGGAGCAAGCTAGAAGTCCAGCCAAATAAAACCTGGTTTAGGCAAAATGAGCAGTGATTTTACTCCTTAGCCATTTAAGTTACTGTATCTATACTTCAACCATTTTATCACCTCGTATATTTCATTTCCAGTGCATGTTGGACTCCGGCAGGGCTGCCCTTTGTCACCGGTTCTGTTCATTATTTTTATGAACAGAATTTCTAGGCGCAGCCAGGGGGCGGAGGGAGTGCGGTTTGGGGACCACAGGATCTCGTCGAC